TATAGCAACATGATCTAAATATAGTAACATTGTAGTTTATTATATGAAATGATGTTACCAGAATAACTACTTTTTTAACAAAATCATGTAGAGCTATCAATATTATTATCACATATTTACAGATTTCTCCATTTATAAAACCAACAGAGCTTAATTAAAAGTATTATTTGCTAAATTTAGAACTAATTAGTAGTATTCAAGATTATCTATTACAGAAACCAGTGTTGGGGAGAAAAAACATAAGCAGGAAAATAAACTGAGAAAAATCACACGAAAAAAATCACTCTGCAGCTGAGACTCGAACCACAGGTCTCTGGATTGCAGGTCCAATATGCTAACAACTACACCTTTTGGCGTTGCATTTTTTTCTTCATGTTAATTGACCTTACACATATATTTAAGTTATTTTTAGCCTTATTTTATAGGCATCACTTTATTACCATAGTGGTGAGCTATTTAAAGCTACTATTACTGCAGCCGGGACTCAAACCACAGGTCTCTGAATAATATAGTATTTTCAACATCATTTTAGCTCAGTCAGAACAACCAACATTCGGTAAGCTATCTGGAAATCTTTCTCGCACAAGAAAGAATTCACTTGCAGGATTCATACCAACAGTGGTGAGGGGCAACTGGTTCAAATGATGCTCGCCAACAGCCTTAACCACTGTGTCACAGAACATCAGATGCTATTTTGTTCATTTTTTTCCAATACAAATACATGTAGTAACCTTTTAAAAAATAATCAACATCTCATAGAATTTTGTTCATTTTTTTTCCAAACACAAGTTCCCTGTTAAAGCTAACAATCTCCCAAAGACTACCTGGAGAGCTTTCATCGTCTCTCAGTTATAAAAGTATACTTCTAACAGCTCTATTCATTTCACAGTGTATGTACTGATAATTTGACAATGGCCGCTAATGAAGTTTTATACAGTGTTATAAAAAGCTGGTAATTGGATGTGATATTTCATGTAGAAGTCAATCTTCATGTATATTTAGAATTATGCTAGATTCCTGTCATTTGCAGATATTGTTAACTACCAGTTTATTTTTCACAGTTTACTGACCTACTAACATAGATTCTGTTCTGCTTTAAAGGTGCAACGATTTTTTTGTGGTCAAACAAAAATAATCAAAGCACAGAAGGCCCTGAATTTGTTTGGGTCTCAGAATGTCAGAAAGGTGAAGGTTGTGAGATTATAAACCAATTTAATTTGTTTGGGTCTCAGAATGTCAGAAAGGTGAAGGTTGTGAGATTATAAACCAATTTGTTTTTGTATAGTGCCACCAATGCTTTCCAGCGTTTTAATTGTAGTAGATTGGCTATAAGACTTGCATGCTTCTTCGCCCATTTTGAGTGGAAAACAGTTTCACGTTTGCATCATTTTGCAAGATCAGTGATCATGTGTCGCCCAATGGTTGCCGGTACTGTGTAGCAGGAGACACAAAAATCATTAACAGGCCACAACGTGTTTCTGATCTGAAAAATTTGTACTCAAGTTATTGGTTCAGATATAGATCAAATGATACGCAAATCTCTGAAAAAATTTTTTAGTCCCATCATGCCAAAAAAACGCAGTTGAGTCCCTTTTAAGACGTTTTCAGGAGTTTTCATATAGACATATAGGCAAAATGAAAACTGTTCAATAGAATTTCTTTAAACTTGGCATGTTGTTAGAATATGATAACAGAAACATTTTAAGAGAAAAAAAAATTTGGGTCAACAATTGTTAAACAATCCTTCACATACAAATTGCATCACTTATTCACTATGCTATTTGTACAAAAGATAACAAAAGCTTTATTTAAAATTAAAAGGTTTATGTACAAAAGGTATCTCAAATATGAGTACAAACAAAATTGGTGATAAAAGATGGAGATAAACAATTATAAAGAAAATAAGAACTTTTAAACTGAAGCTGCCATATTTATCTCATTTCATACTTTTAAGCAACTGATTCACACTAAAAAGCACACCTATACCTTGGTAATACCTTAAAGGGACTCCACTGAGGTTTTTTTGTGACATGATATGACTAGAAATAAATTTTGCAAAATTAATGTTCCATTTGATGGAGGTTTATACCAATAACTTGTGTGCAAAATTTTAAATCATTTGCTTACAGCATTTTTCCAGAACAATTATTTTAATTGTGAAAACTGACCCAAAATTGAAAAGCGTTGCAACACATTTCACTACAATCAGGCTAAGAATAGCACAAAATATAAATTCTAATTTGAGCCGTGTCACGACAAAACCAACATAGTGCGTTTGCGACCAGCATGGATCCAGACCATGGATCCATGCTGTTCGCTAACTGACTCTATAACAAGTAGAGAAACTGATAGCGAACAGCATGGATCCTGATCAGACTGCGCGGTCTGGATCCATGCTGGTCACTATGTTGGTTTTGTCATGACACAGCTCATTTATTGTCGAGTATATTTCATTTCTATATTTAGCATATCATTTTGTTTTGGTGCTTCAGCTGATCCATGTAAGAAATCTAAATTTTTATGATTTAAGGCTTTTTGGACCTCAGTGGAGTTCCTTTAACAGAAATTTCTATCTGAAATAAGACTGCGTTTTACAGGGGTGATAGTTTGAACAAATAAACATATTAAAACTAGAATGTAAATAACGGTAATGTCTTTGTGAAATAAGAATGCCTTTTACAGGGATGATAATTAAAATACTATCAATAGAACAAATTAGCATATTAAAACTAGAATGTAAATCATTTACACATGTACATGTTGCCCATATAAATGACTTAAAAACTTTGACAAAATTAAATCCCCCTAATTTCATAGTTACAGTTAGAATTTTGACATTTACCCTTGCGCAGTTGTCTGCTCTTGGCCTACACTGTTAGATATTCTTTAGTATGTTTTATTTTTGGATTTTTTTTTGGAAAAATTATGGCCGGTTTTGTCCAAATTAAATAATGGACAAGTCAATTAAATATATTTAGCATGACAAGGGTGAAAATAATTGAATTCTTGCATATTTTGACTATAACATACAAGTCTCATGCAGAATTTTAAGAACTGAACACACAATATAAAATCTAATTAAGAAACTCTTACTATTTTAAATTTAACAAGAGTTAGTATAAAAACATGTATTTTTAATACATACATTTTTTCCCTATTCCACCATTCATTTTCACTGATTTTATCAGTTCCTTTTATATAATATTCACTAGTAAAAATAAGGTTACACTATTTTACTCAGTAAGCTACTGTGTCAATAAAAATATAACAACTATCAGGTTTCATTAACATTTCTTTCTTATACATGTATATTTTTTAATAAAATATGAAATAAAATGCATATTTTCATTTTTCATATTTTCAATGTAAAAAATTATTTTTCACTGCAGTGAAACATATCTCAGGTTATTTTCACTTACTACTTTCTTCTAAATTTAGCCAATACTCAAAAATAAAGGAGAGGTCTTTCAAATTGTAAGCTCAAAGCTAAAAAAGAGAAAAAAGTGTAAAATAAATAGAAAATTCAAAGTGTTTTCTATAAACACAGGATGTATTTTCATCTTGCGGTATGAAAATTATCATATTTCACTTGTGGCTGTGCCACTCATGAAATAATTATTTTAACATATCATGATTAAAGTAAAATTGTATTTATAAGAAAAACTTGGAACATCATCTATTTACTATATAAGCTGTGTTCATACAAAATGAGTATCTAAGTTTTGAAAACAATAGGCTGGATATATAGCTAAAATTGTATAAAATGTATCTACAGCAATTTTTTCTATTTCTTACACACAATAAATATACCATCACCTTAGTGCAGTAACGGAATAACTTCTTATATAATTTAATAGGAGTTAAGCCATTACTGCACTAGGGTGACAAATTATACCAGTACTCAATTTTTGTCTGTAATAGTCAGACAAGTGTAAATTTAAGAAGTAAGAGCGAAACTAATGGAAGATTTTTACAGTCTTTTAGCACATAAACAGTATATAAATGGTCTTTTATACATGATTTTATGAAAATTTATTAACGTATTGTTCTTATTTTATTTTGTTTTGGTTGGTTGGGTTTTTATGTGGCAACAAAACAGTATACTGTATAGGTCATATGGTGACCTCCAAGTGCCCTTCTGTGGATTATTTCAGGCATGAACAGGCATCCCTGTAGAATCACTGATGTTCAATAGCTAGCTGGATAGCTTCCTCACATGAAAGGATTCAAAGTCCCTGTTGGAATTCAAACCCACAGGGGTGAGGGGCAAGTGATTTAAAGTAAACGACCATAACCATTTGGTCACAGACGCCCCTATGTATTTGTCTTAAATTATATAATATATATGCGGACATATAATATATATGACTTGAACAATACCCTTATTTATTGACCGGCTGTCAATTGGCCGCCAACGCAACACTGCTTATCTATGCAGTAGTTGCCCATCCTGTTTATACTATGTCACACAATGCAATAGCTGATTAAAAACAACATTTTATACTTCATTAAAAGGTAAAAATTATGCAAACATGACACACACACGCACGCACGCACACACACAAACTTATACAAACTTTAACGGGCCACCTACAATTGAATACACCCTGAATTCTCTAAAACTTTAAATAAACTACAATAAAAGTGACATAAATCATGGCTTTTTTGTTGTAAATGTTTAAGAAACCTTGCCTCTAGAAAAAGTGTAAAAAACACCTCTTTAAATAATGAAATAATAATAATGAAATAATGAAATAAGCCAGTCCTCTTTTAAAAAACTTAAAATACTACCTCTCCAAAAAAATCTGCAACAAGACTTGCCCCACTCAATAACTTTGATTTTATTTTAATATGGCAGTTATCACAAATGTTTAATAAAGGGGCAGACAACTGCTTTACTACTCAGTACTCTGCTTCATTTATATACAGTTTCATAATTAGGACACAAAATCTGTATGACATAAGCTTACTCAAAGCTTCTTTTTTTTATTTTTCTCTAAAAAATTGGCAACTTACTATTGAAGTATAAATTTTTTTAACATTACTTGGCATTTAAGTACTTAAGAATGTTTTTGTTTTTTTTCTTAATTAGGCAACTAACTACTAAAGTAACTAACTTAGCAATTACCTACTAAAGTTTAGTGTTTTTTGTTTGTTTTTTTTTATTATCAAATTTGGCAATTAACTACAAACACAAAGAAGACAATATATCTGGAATAAAAAACAATTCTGAATAAATAAATGACAAATATATTTATACTCAGGGTTAATCAAAATTTACAAACATATCCAGCCCTAAATCTACTAGGACCTAAGAATTTAATATGATTATCAATATGGCTGTATTTAGATTGTGAAGTTTATTTTCACTGTTAAAATTCATGCCATTCTTTCCTGTATTGCAAACTGTAAGGAACATTTCATAAACGTTTTGGTTAGTTTTCAAGTTTATGTACATAGGACAATAACAGTCTCGGAGTTACTTGCCCCTGATTTTCATCTTTTCACTTTTCAAATGTCTTCTTTTTTCAAGTCAATCATATTTTTGTATATCCTTGTGAACAATTCAAAAATGTTACACACACAATTGAACGATTTCATTGGTTATTTCTTTAGAAGTTAGGGGAGACAACATACTGAGGCAAACTTTAAGAGTTACATGCCCTTGACTTTCATCATCTTGGTTTTGGCTTGCTTCCTTTTCAACTCCTGCTTGTTCTGTCGCTCCTAAAAATAAAACGAAATTATTATATTTATTCATTTAGGTTGGCAACTAATACCAAAACTAATACTCGAGTAATCGGTCATTTTTCCGATTGAGTACTCGGTTACTCGGATGATTTCCAATGATCTTCAAAGCATATCACACAATATCAACAACGTCTGCATGCTACTTTTGTTTTCTATTTAAATTCATAGAATTAGTAACTATAAATAGAACTGCACAGGATATAACTTAAAATAATCAATAAACAAATTAATTAAAACAACTTAAAACAATGAATAAACAAATTAATTAAAATTAAATCAACAACATTATTTTTTACAACATTTTAATTAATGTACAATTTAAGGTAATTCAATATCATAAGAGGCCGAATGACGTAAGTGATTTGAAAACAATATTTTTTTCTTTGGATTTTCATCGCACCAACACAGCATAGGTCAAACGGCGACTTTTCAATTTTACTGGTGAAGGAAGACCTCAGGTGCCCCTGTTTGCATTATATCAGGCACAAACAGGCACACAAGTAGAACCACCAACATTTAGTAAACTAGCTAGATAGCTTCCTCACCTGATAGAATGCGAAGAGACGCTGACGCGGCTCAAACCTGCAGCAGTGAGGGGCAAGTGGTTTGAAGGCAATGACCTTAACCACTGACGCAGCACTTGAAAACTATAAATAACTTAAAATAGTGAAGTATTTTACCTCCCACTTTCTCGCCTTGTCCGGATCTTCCTCGTTCATGATTCTTTCTTTCTCGGCTCTACGTTTTTCCTCACGTCTCAGTTGGGCAGCCTCCTGTCGCTGGGCGTGGGCAGACTTAAGGAAAACTTCCTCTGCCTTTTGGCGATTCTTCTCGGCCTTCTGTTTACCCTGAATATGAAATAAACAGAACAATGTGAATGTACTGTTACTGTTTATTTTCCATTTGCAGCATGCAAGACTTATCCCAATTCAAAATGCATCCACATATAAAATTTCAAGGCCATAATTGAAGTCATTGACCATATATCAAAAGAAAGATTATTTTGACCTTGACTTTTGAGCATTCAACCTACAATGATTATGCCAGGTAGAACACATCAATGTACATATAAATACAATTTCAAGTTCCGAGGTCAAAGGTCAAATGCACTGTAACTTAATGGCTTTTGTGATATATTGTTATTTAAGGTCCATGTGACCTTGACCTTTGACCTGTAAATAGTTGACGAAGTTAGAACTCATCAGGGTACATCTACATACAATGTTTAAGGTTTCCTAGGTCTATGCACTTTGATTTAATGGCCAGTGTTATGTTTTATTCATTACAAATCCATGTGAGCTTGACCTTTGACCTTTTTGATCTGTTAATGGATTTGACTGGCATACCTCATCAATATTTACATATGGTACAAAGTTTGGAAGTTCTTAGATCTTTAATGGCCAGTTTATAGTTTTGTTATTACTTTGACCTTTTGACCTTAAAATGTGTGTGGCAGGAAGAAATCTTCATTCACATACAATAAAATCTGCTTATAAATTTTTTTTCAAAGAGGCATCCGATTTGAATACAAGAGTTGGAACCACGCCAACAGCATAGTTATAAGCTATATATCATTATAAACAAGATATGTTTGTAAAACATGGATGCCCCCTATCAGCAGCCAATTAGTCATGTGATAAGGTTATTATGCATGACTTCTGACCCTGAGTGATCAAACAATTAATAAGGGTTATCAAGTATCTACTGGTCATGACCTTAACCTTTGACCCCTTGACCCAAAACTCAATAGGGGTCATCTGCTGGTCACGACCAATCATCATACAAAGTTTGAAGTTCCTAGGCCTAAGCGTTTTTAGTTAATTGATCGGAAACCGTTTTTGCTTACAAGGTCAATGTGACCTTGACCTTTGACCCCTTGACCCCAAAATCAATAGGGGTCATCTACTGATCATGACCAATCACCATACCAAGTTTGAAGTTCCTAGGCCTTAAGGTTCTTTAGTTATTGATCGGAAACCGTTTTTGCTTACAAGGTCATGTGACCTTGACCTTTGACCCCAAAATCAATAGGGGTCATCTACTGGTCATGACCAATCACCATACCAAGTTTGAAGTTCCTAGGCCTAAGGGTTCTTTAGTTATCACTCGGAAACCATTTGGTCTACGGACCGACGGACCGACAAGTGCAAAGCAATATACCCCCTTTTCTTCGAAATGGGGGCATAATAAACAAAAATATTGTTATATGTGGAGTTTACTGTATCAAGTTTCAATTGAGCAGCTTTAACTACATTGAAGTTAATCACCATAAATTTATACCAGGTTTTTTCCCCAGAATTTTGGGAACTTGACCCATACCCATGGAATTGGGAATTTCAGCAACATTTTGTTTAAAGTACGGAAAAAATACATGACTTAAATTATGGATTGGGAAAATAATATACAATTGGGAATATGACCGAATATCGACTATAAAATAAGTCCAAAAAATCCCTGAATATGGTACTTTATGCACATACCTCCTTGCTGAGCGAGACCCTAGCGACTTTATCCACGACGTAGAAGACGAGCTGCATCAATGGCTTCATGTTCTCCATGTCCGTTGTCTTAGTCTTACCTTTACCAGCCACTGTAAATATTACAATGTTTGTTTGTTTGTATGTTTGGGTTTTACGTCACACCTACACAGTATAGGTCATTTAGCAACATTCCAGCTTTACTGGTGGAGGAAGACCTCAGGTGCCTTTTCATGCATTATTTCAGGCACAAACGGGCATCTGAGTAGAACCACTGACGTTCCGTAAGCTAGCTGGATAGCTTCCTCACATGAAAGAATCCAAAGTCCCTTTCGGGATTCGAACCCACAGTTGTGAAGGGGCATTACAATGATTGATACATCTCAAGTTTGACAAGCTAATAAGATATACTATGCTCAAATTTGATATTGTAAAATATTGAAAATTGCTTCACAGTCTCTTTGTAAATACTGGTATAAAATATACAAGTTTTGTTTTTACACAAAGAAGATGTTCTGTTTGAAACTCTACACGCTTTAGGTTGTCACACTATGAATATATAGTGTCATTAAAAAAATAATTGGCAGTTTTTTAAAGAAAAGACCAACTTTACTTGACCTGTAATAGGGAACACACCTTCCAAAACATAGTTTATTTATTCCTTTATTCAAATTTGACATATTCCGTAACAATTTCATAGATTTCAATAAATTTCGGTGATAAAAATATAGAATGAGCATAGTATAGTATATCTTTAAAGCACAACTCCAGATTCATGCTGTTTTTCATGAAAATCTTGAAAATGTATTGAAATATTCAAAATATTGTTAAGTGAACAAAGAATATTAAACAGAGAGAAAAAGAAAATCTTACCATTAAAACAGAATACAATGGTTTGCTTTACTTCTGGCATCTTGGTTTGGTTATCACTAAAATATCAAACAATAAATCATGAAAGAAATGTTTACAATTAGTCTTTCAAAATATAATTCCAATGATAAAATACTGTATAAGTGGTTATTTTTGCGACATGGAAATATTTGCGATTTTTGCGAATTAAAATTATTCGCAAATATTTGAATTTCTTCAGGTTACTATGTAATCTATATAACAGACAAACAAACACACACGCAGGTACACACTCAGGTTATCACTATATGCCACCACATCACAGATACTGCGTTGGTATAAAACAGCTTTCTATAATTACAAATGTACTCACTCATACTGGTTCTTAGGTCCGGAATACTGGTCTGAGATATGGATGGATTCAATCTGGTTCTCAAAGCGATCAAGAGCTTGACATACCTAGTAAATGAAATATCATTAGCAATTGTGAAATAATCAATAAACCCATACATTATCTTAAATGGACCATTTATCATTTTAAGGGAAAATTTCAGAAAATGTATCAATGAAAAAGCAAACAGTGTAGACCATAATTTTGTTTGTTTTGTTTAGTTTTAGGGGACACCAACACAATTTAGGGCATATGGCGCAGAAACAGGGAAAATAATTTTGCCTAACCTCAGGTGTTACAAACTTAAGCAACTTCAGAGTTACATAGAATTCAGTAATTCAAACCCATTTAGTCTTCTCTTACAATCACGCAGGAATATAAAGTGGCTGCAACTCTTATGCCTCAACCATTAAACACAAATGGCATTTTTAGCCCTAGTTATCACATTCAAAGGGAGAGAAATACTTACTTTCTTATCTAGCACCATAGCAGTTGCCTCCCCTATCTCACTAAGAAGTTGGAAGCTTGATGGGATGTTATATTTATCAATATTTTTCTTCTCCGTAAACTGGCTCTATAATATAAATATAATTTCCAGAATTATATTTCATTGAAAGAGGAAAAGATTTTGCATTTCAAACAAATACATCTCATCTTCAAACCCTGTCAGGGGCAAGTCGTTGTTTCCTTGAGAAAGAAACTTTACACTCATTGCTCAATACTGGTTGGTTCAAGGAGCGGATTCGAAAGTGTGTCTATAAGCTTAAAGCTTCCTATACAATCATAAATTCTGTATAAACTAAATACATGTACATCTCAAATTGAGCTAAGTTTTACTAAATGAAACAAGAGGGCCATGATGGCCCTGAGGTCGCTCACCTGTATATAGGCCCCCCCCCCAACGTTGCAGGGCCAATTTAACCCAAGGGCTTTTATTTGCACAAACTTGGTAGACACCCATAAGAAGATGTTTCATGCTAAACATCTAAGCTCTAGCTCATTGGGCTTTTTAAAAGAAGATTTTTTTAAAGTTTTTACTATACACATATAGTTAAAAACAATGACACCCCTGGGGCCGGGCCAGGGCTTCTATTTGAACAAACTTTGTAGACACTTACTAGAAGATGTTTCATGCTTAATATCTAAACTCTAGCTATTTGGGTTTTTTCAAAGAAGATTTTAAGTTTTTGCTATACACATATAAAAAAAATCAATGACCCCCGGGGCGGGGCCAATTTTGACCCCAGATCTTTTATTTGAACAAACTTTGTAGACACTCACTAAAAGATGTTTCATGCTTAATATCTTAACTCTAGCTATTTGGGTTTTTTCAAAGAAGATTTTTTAAGTTTTTGCTATACACATATAAGGAAAATCAATGACCCCCTGGGCGGTGCCAATTTTGACCCCAGGGCTTTTATTTGAACAAACTTGGTAGACACCTATGAGAACATGTTTGATGCTAAATATCTTAGCCATAGCTCTTTGAGTTCTTTAAAAGAAGATTTTTTAGGTTTTTACAATGTGCATATAGGGAAAATCAATGACCCCCCGGGGCGGGGCCAATTTTGACCCCAGGGCTTTTATTTGAACAAACTTGGTAGACACTTATTAGAACATGTTTCATGCTAAATATCTTAGCTCTAACTCTTTTGGTTCTTTAAAAGAAGATTTTTTAAGTTTTTACTATATGCATATAGGGAAAATCAATGACCCCCTGGGTCGGGGCCAATTTTGACCCCAGGGCTTTTATTTGAACAAACTTGGTAGACACCTATTAGAACATGTTTGATGCTCAATATCTTAGCCATAGCTCTTTGAGTTCTTTAAAAGAAGATTTTTTAAGTTTTTACTATATGCATATAGGGAAAATCAATGACCCCCCGGGGCGGGGCCAATTTTGACCCCAGGGCTTTTATTTGAACAAACTTGGTAGACACCCATTAGAACATGTTTCATGCTAAATATCTTAGCTCTAGCTCTTTGGGTTCTTTAAAAGAAGATTTTTTAAGTTTTTACTATATGCATATAGGGAAAATCAATGACCCACGGGGCCGGGCCAATTTTGACCCCAGGGCTTTTATTTGAACAAACTTGGTAGACACTCACTAGAAGATGTTTCATGCCAAATATCTAAGCTCTAGCTCTTATGGTTTTTTAAAAGAAGATATTTAAAGTTTTTTCTTTCGGTTGCCATGGCAACCAGAGATCTGCATGGAATTAAATTCTTTGAACAATTTTTAAAGGTGACCACCAAAGGAACATTCCTGTGAAGTTTGGATGAAATTGGCTTAGTGGTTTATGAGGAGATGTCATTTAAAGTAAAAGTTTACGGACGGACGCCGGACGAAAAGCAATCACAAAAGCTCACCCTGTCACTTTGTGACAGATGAGCTAAAAAAAATCAGGCCCCGTGTTAACAAAGATTTAAGGATCAGGATCAAAATCAGGATCAAAGTTAAAAATTAAAATATTTTCCATTGTTAACCCTTATAGTTTAAATATCTAGTATTAACTTGATGAAACTGAAAGTGAAATAGCATGTTTATAAAATTTTAGAATAAATATTTTGTTATTTTTACAAGATATCGGCATTTTACAGTTGATCCAATTATTGATTTTGATCCTAAAAAAATTTATCCTTATTTTGATTTGATTTTTTTTAATTTGATTTTTGTTATTTGTCTATTTTATTACAAAATAGGGTTTGTTTCTTCAAATCAGCAATTTGAATATGTACTATTTCATTCTAGCAAAATCAAATCAAATTTAGGAAAATATTCTGATCTGATCTTTTCTTAAAAACACCGGACCAGAACTGGGAATTTCATCCAAAAATTAATATTAATATGAAAACCAAATATTCATACATCAAAATTCTTGGTCGTTCCATGATTCTAGAACAAATACTTTATAATACAATACAAGAATTAGCTTACTAAATCCAGAAGATCTTTTTGCATTTTGGCAGCGACTTTCTTCTGAGCAATACAGAAACAGAATTTCTCCATCGACGGGTCCATGCTTACTTTTACAACCTGTGTAACGATAAATAATAATTATCTTCATAATCATTGATTCAAACATTGACAAACATTCCCATCTCTAGCAATCAGTTTATTGCATTTTATGACAACCTTTAGAAACTTTTTGTACAAGAATTGGAAAATACAAACATTTTACAACTATACAAGTTGTATGTTGCATGTCTGATAAAATAGAGAAAAACAGAATCTGAAACAGTAAAATTGTGAATGTTGCAGACTTGGTTTGATTGAGGCTGTGCATAGGCCCATGAAATTAAGTTAATTCACAGTATTTTATTATAAAGAAGCTACAAAAAATGGTTAATAATTCTCTTAGAAAGAAGTCACTAAATGACATTACATAAGCTCGATGGATAGAAATGGTAAAGAAGTGTAACGAGAGAAAAATAAATTTCACCTAGACTGAACTTACAATTTGGTCAGCGGCTGGTTTAAGCATAGTGGACATGACGTTAATGAGGTCCTGTCGCTTGATCAGTTTCAGCTCGACCAACATTCCTTCGACACACATTCTACCACTGCACCATAATGCGTATATATTTTCGGATTCCTTCATCAACGTTCCCGACGTCACCTCCTTCGATGTGCCATCATCACCTTGTAAAAAGCAAGTTTTTCTTTTTCATTTTTTATTCATAACAATTCATACAGACTTCACAGAGACTTTTTATATCCATTTTGCACAAAAGTATCCACATTTCTTAGCTAATATCCACTTTTGTCAAAACTATACGTTATTGTTTCCATTTTTTAAAAATCAAGAGCGAATGCTGTTTATCCAGTGCCACAAGTGCAGACCAAGATCAGCAGCCATAATCTGTGCCATCTAATCATGATCTGCACTATTTGCTATTTAGTTAGTAAATATTTTGTAATTGTCCCCAAAAAATGATGAATAGTTATGAGTCCAAATTTGAATTTCTTACATAGTTCAGCTTGGACGCTCAATACAGAAAGATATGCAAAAGATATATAAATAAATACCCAGAACTGAATTGAAAATCATATTTTAAGCTATTCTTGGCCTGATTTAAGTATAAGTCTTTCAATGTTGGGTCATTTTTCACAAATAATTATTCTGAAAAAACTGAGTGAGCAAATGATCTGAAATTTTGCATACAAGTTTAAGGTCTAGACTTGCATCATATTGAACATTTATCTCAAAAAATAATTTCCAGTCCCATCATGTCAAAAAAATTCAGTGGAGTCCCTTTAAGTTAATTTAGAAGAGTAAGGGTTAAGTCAGATACTTACCAACAATAGTAAAGTTATCCTCTAGTAACTGTTTATGTGATGTAAGCCACGCCTGTGCTAGTTTGCTGTTCTTCGTTTTTCCTGCCAGAAAGTTCAGAAAATAAACACCCAATCCTGCCAGCATGAGCATCTCCAAGTAAAAACTGTCCCAGTTTGTTCTCAAATGTATTGGTACCTATCAAATAAAACATTAAAACTGCAGGGTCAGCAAAATATGATTTTTACTTACCATGTACACGTCCGTTTTTATCTGAAGCATTTCTTATCTTGTCTGTATGATATTTATGTTTGTTTGGGTCATATGGCGACATTCAGCTTTATTGATGCAGGAAGACCTCAGGTGCTCTCCAATGCATTATTTAAGGCACAATCGGAAACTTGCAAGATCCTGTTTTGCAATCGAGCATAAACAAATATGTTTTTAACCAAACTTTTTGCTCAACCATTCTTGGAAACTTACCTTGGCAATTTTGAGGTCAGGAACTTCATGTGATTTGCCTTTAGCTGGATGAATGTCTCTATCGAATCCTTCAAATTCATCCTCGTCAGTAAAATGATCAAATTCATCCTCATCTGTCTGTATAAATAAAGAAAAGAAACATGACTTTAAAAGGGGCATAATTTTGTCAAAATGCTTGATAGAATTACCTCCTTCTGTCTAGCGCAGTCGTCAGGTTAGGGGCATGATGATGAACAAGTGTGCAAAGTTTCAAAACCATATGTCAATGGACTTTGAAAATATATTTGAGGTGTTACAAAAACTTTTACATAAGTGGTTACACTGACACTCGGCTGACTAGGATAGCTCTACTTAACATGACTTTAGCACAACAAGCTGCGGATGAATCGTATGTACTTCTTCACCCATGAAAAGTATTTTGTTTAGTTAAATAGGATAGTTTTTTATTATTGTGGCTTGTGCATAAGTCAATAACATAGATATAAATTAATATTCAATTGCAGTTTGACCAGTGTTATAACATCACATAAGTATCACTCTAAATGTAGCACATAGAATATGCTCACCTCAACTGTTCCGTCGTCGTCATCATCTTCATCATCTTGGACATCTTGCTGCACGCGATCAGATTGTTGTTGTTGTTGTTGCTGCTGTGGAGTGTCTTCAGACTCGGATGGAAAATCTGCGTCCTCTTCTACAGTTACTTCACCATCTGATAAAAAGATTATAAGATGTACTATAATTTATTGAAATATGTAATGGTCTTTTTATTTAGTGTAAGCGGGCTAAGCCAGAGGCAAACATATGTGTCACATTCAATAGTTAGTTTCTATGAATTTAATTTTAGTTTGATTGTTTTGGAAGCTGTAGGTTTATTGAAACAATCTCGAATCCATTCCTGGAACCAACCAGTACTTAGCAATGAATATAAGATTCCTGTTCAAGGGAACAATAGCTAGCCCCTGATAGAGTTTGAACCCATATGGCCAGCAATCGTTAGATCACTAGATAGACATGTAAACCACTTGTCCATACTGCATGGTCTTGTTTAACCTTAGCCCTGCTTAATAGATGTTACCCAGAACTGTGAGTTTTTTTCCAGCTAATCTGTAGGTACAAACTTTTACCATTAAAGCTTCAAAGCGCAATACCTTTCACAATAGATTAGCCAACTTCTTGCGCTTATCTTCGAAGCTGTAACTGTAAAAGTTTGTTTATACCTACGGATATATATATTATAATATATTAATATAAGGTTCATTCCATTTTCTAGTGTATTTATATACATGTTTTACTTCTGTTTTACACATAGGGGTGTAATCCAGGAGATTTCCCCTTTATCTGCACATTTTGCTAGCAATACCGGCCAATTTAGCAGGCCAAATTCTTGAAAGAAAAACAATAACAAAAACAAACCATCATCTTCAAATTCTGCAAAATCATTGTCATCATATTCATTAGATTTCTTTCCTGCTGACTGATAACTCAGCAATAATAAGCCCAATAATGTAAGATACAGAAGTTTCATCGTTTTCTATACCTGAAAGAAAAATATTTATCTTAAGAAAGTTAAACTAGATATAACTAAACTCTTTGTCCAAAATTTACATATCCGATTTTTATGTAGCTTTTGAGGTCGAAGAAGATTTATTTCAAAACATATTCAGTCTATTAAGTTATAATAGCTAGTAGCACTAAATACATACTTATGTGAATAAGTGAATATTTTGACCTAAAAACACCTACTTTCTTTGTATTTTTTTGATTAAACGCCGGCGAATTCCACGTCTAAATTTTTTTAGTACGGTGTGCGTAATTTTAACACGTTATGATAAATCAAATTGCCCTTTGGCCCATGGTTTAACAGCAGTTACAATTGCTGATGTTTTGATTGCATTTATGATATATAGACTTGTTCAAATAGCTAGGAAGAATTCATCCGTGTATAGAGGTATCGATAAATATCGGTTGTCAATCTGATAAATCAAATCTATAATTTTTGTTACATGAGACAATCCAATAAATTTATTTTTCACTGCCAAGTACAGCAGAGGTCCTGTACTGTAGGCCTATCTCAGTATCTCACCTTTGACACAGGAACTGGCATTTATTTCACTGACATTTGCACTGATATTATCAAAGTTATGTTTAAGATTACAATTTACATTATCAAAATCAAGGCTATTATTATTTTTGTTAGAAAAGGACACATTGAATGGAGAGAGTCTCCAATTAGAAATTTTATTTCTTCAGGCGCTAACAAACATTAGTAACAGTTGCTAACACATGGTTTTTTTTTTATTAAAGTGAACTCACACTATAATTATATACGAAATCATCGTATCTTGTTTTGCATGCTTATACAATTCAATGTGTACGCTGTCTTGCGATTACAAGGAGATATGTTACTTAATTCTGTTTACTGTAACTTTCTTTGCAATCTGGATTACGATTAGACTGAGACCCCTATGTATTTCTCAGGAACCTTTCTTGCAATAACAGGATATACACTTGTTTATATACTGTGAACTAGAACTTTTGAAGATATTCACTTGAATCTTCACACATTTCTCAAGTATTATAATAATTATTTTGGGTCAATGTCCACTTCTTATAACGATGTTGTGTATTTTGAAAGAACTCTTCCTGTTTGTGAATTCTTTCATTATTGTTTCTATAATCAAGCATGAAGATAGTCAAGCATGCTATCCTACTTATAATCCAACTAATTGTACTTTGCGACGAGATATTGTGCTATTTTGTGTCTGGGCAATATCTCGCCTCTTGAAGGGAGATTCTAACCTAGAATGAAAATATCTCAGAATTAAGCTTTGGCACATCAATATATTTTGACTATCCTACTTACAGCTCTTTTAATTTATAAATATTTGCAGTTTTACAAAGAACCATGGCAACAGAGAGCAGTAAGTTCAGGGAAATGTATCCAGATATTGAGCCATATGATACTGGAATGCTGAAGGTATCTGACATTCACCAGGTCTACTACGAGCAATCAGGAAATAAGAATGGGAATCCTGTCATATTTTTGTAAGTATCTTGTAGTTACAGTCAAACCTGTGCCAAAGGAGAGACCATACATGACCTTTATAGACAGGTGGTCTTTATTTAGAGTTAACTCTGTTGCATTTTATCAATGAAGGTTTATCAAATGGTGGTCTTTATTTACAGGGTGATCTTTATTAGAAGGTGATCTTTATACCCCCGCACAACAAAGTTGTAAGGGGGTATACTGGAATCAGCTTGTCCGTCCGTCCGTCCGGCTGTCCGGCCGTCCGTCAGTTTTTTCTTGTCCGCCCAATAACTTAAGATTCCTTTGACCCTTAGTCTTCATATTTGGCATGGAGGTTAGTCATGATTAGTAGATGACCCCTATTGATTTTGAGGTCACTAGGTCAAAGGTCAAGGTCACAGGGGCCTTTACTTCAAAAAGCTTGTACGCCCAATAACTTAAGATTCCTTTAACCTACAGTCTTCATATTGGCCATGGAGCTTAGTCATGATTAGTAGATGACCTCTATTGATTTTGAGGTCACCAGGTCAAAGGTCAAGGTCACAGGGGCCTTGACTTCAAAAAGCTTGTCCGCCCAATAACTTAAGATTCCTTTGACCCACAGTCTTCATATTTGGCATGGAAGTAAGTCGTGATTAGTAGATGACCCCTATTGATTTGAGGTCACCAGGTCAAAGGTCAAGGTCACAGGGGCCTTGACTTCAAAAAGCTTGTCCGCCCAATAACTTAAGATTCCTTTGACCCATAGTCTTCATATTTGGCATTGAGGTTAGTCGTGATTAGTAGATGACCCCTATTGACTTTGAGGTCAAAGGTCAAGGTCACAGGGGCCTTGACTTCAAAAAGCTTGTCCGCCCAATAACTTAAGATTCCTTTGACCCACAGTCTTCATATTTGGCATTGAGGTTAGTAGTGATTAGTAGATGACCCCTATTGACTTTGAGGTCACCAGGTCAAAGGTCAAGGTCACAGGGGCCTTGAATTCAAAAAGCTTGTCCGACCAATAACTTAAGATTCCTTTGACCCACAGTCTTCATATTTGGCATGGAGGCTAGTCATGATAAGTAGATGACCCCAATTGACTTTGAGGTCACCAGGTCAAAGGTCAAGGTCACAGGGGCCTTGACTTTAAAAAAGCTTGTCCGCCCAATAACTAAAGATTCCTTTGACCCACAGTCTTCATTTTTGGCATGGAGCTTAGTCATGATTAGTAGATGACCCCTATTGACTTTGAGGTCACCAGGTCAAAGGTCAAGGTCACAGGGGCCTTGACTTCAAAAAGCTTGTCCCCCCTATATCTTAAGATTCCTTTGACCCACAGTCTTCATATTTGTTATGGAGGTTAGTCATGATTAGTAGATGACCCCTATTGATTTTGAGGTCACCAGGTCAAAGGTCAAGGTCACAGGGGCCTTGACTTCAAAAAGCTTGTCCGCCCAATAACTTAAGATTCCTATGACCCACAGTCTTCATATTTGGAATGCAGGTTAGTTATGATTAGTAGATGACCCCTTTTGATTTTGAGGTCACTGGATCAAAGGTCAAGGTCATAGGGACTTTGACTTCAAAAAGTTTGTCCACCCATTAACTTAAGATTCCTTTGACCCACAGTCTTCATATTTGGCATGGATGTTGATCATGACTATAAGGTTACCCCTATTGATTTTGAGGTCACTGGGTCAAAGGTCAAGGTCACAGGGACCCTGACAAAAAAAAAAGCTTTTCTCCTCAATTGCTAAAGAATGTCCTGTCCGCAATGTATTGATTTTGACATTTTCACATTTGAAGCATGTAGAATACATACACTTAGCAATGCACTGGCTTAGTAACCTCAGATTTGGCAGGGAGGTTGTCCTTGAGCTCTAAATGGCCACTGTTGATTCTGACAAAGTGGTATGCGGGGGTATTCACGCCATGATAGTGGCAGTTCTAGTTAACACAAGTTTGACTGTATATGCACTGAATATTTGTTTTAGTTTATAGATAAACATCAATTAACAATCATGTGCATTTTGTATGTCTTTAGTAAAGAGCCAGGCCGTACCCACATCCCTTCAATCTTAACTATCAAGGCCAGCCTCCATATCCCTAATAAATATTAGAAAAATACCACTAGCTGAATTTTATGTTAAAATGAAAATAAGAAAAGGAAAGACTGCCATAGATTCTTGATGAGGTAATATCTATTTTTAGACATGGCGGACCAGGGGGAGGTACGTCGGCTAGAGATAGAACATTCTTTGATCCGAATGTTTACAGAATTGTGCTGATGGACCAAAGAGGGGCAGGAAAGTCTTTACCAGCTGCTGAACTCAAGGTTTGTCTTGCTCAATAGAGCTGCACCATGACAAAATGGTGCATTTGCGACCTGCATGGATCCAGACCAGCCTGCGCATCCATGCAGTCTGATCAGGATCCATGCTGTTCGCTATCAGTTTCTCTACTTGTTATAGGGTTGGTAAGCGAACAGTATGGATCCTCATCAGACTGCGCGGATGCGCAAACTGGTATGGATTCATGCTGGTCGCAAATGCACTATGTTGGTTTTGTCATGGCGCTGCTCATATGATTTATCATGCACCAAAGGGGTGTCTTATTTTTGGCTCATATTGGACAGTTTGGATACCATTGCATAGATCTGTAAACCATCTGATTTGAATTATCACAGGACCTTAAAAGGTTTTTACCAGCCTTTAAAAAAAGGCTAGTAACTTTGATAATTTTACAGGTGCTACCCTATTTCTACGAGCCATCGGCTAGTAGGCTACAAGCTCGCTAATGTTAGCATTACTCTACAGTTGTTTCAACATACTCTTCTTTACTATAGATCCGTTCTTATATTAGATGTGTAATTTATATAATATTATATTTGTATAGATTTGATACTTAATTTTCTCAACTCTTTGAATAAAAACAATTTTATGCTCGTCAGAGGCTTCCATGATATGATTTTATTCAACTTGTTCTATAAATTTAGTATTAAATCTACACTCATTCAATAAAATTAGTTTTAAATCTACACTCATTCAATAAATTTAGTATTAAATCTACACTCATTCAATAAATTTAGTATTAAATATAGTATTAAATATACACTCATTCAATAAATTTAGTATAAAATCTACACCCATTCAATAAATTTAGTATTAAATCTACACTCATTCAATAAATTTAGTATAAAATCTACACTCATTCAATAAATTTAGTATTAAATCTACACTCATTCAATAAATTTAGTATAAAATCTACACTCATTCAATAAATTTAGTATTAAATCTACACTCATTCAATAAATTTAGTATAAAATCTACACTCATTCAATAAATTTAGTATTAAATCTACACTCATTCAATAAATTTTGTATTAAATCTACACTCATTCAATATCCTCTATACACTGTGTAGGAGAATACAACATGGAACCTTGTGGCAGATGTAGAGAAACTGAGAGAAAAGCTTGGTATAGAAAAATGGGTGGTGTTTGGAGGAAGTTGGGGATCAACCTTGTCTCTCGCATATGCTGAAACTCATCCTGATAGAGTTAAAGCCCTTATTCTGCGAGGAATTTTCACGTTAAGAAGGTATGTGGCATATTTTAGTTCTAATTTAATTTCTTTATTTCTTTAAAGGAACTCCACTGACGTCCGAAAGCACAAAAGTGTAAAAATTTAATTTTTCTTACATAGATCAGCTGGGGCACTTAAAACAGAAAGATTTTCAAAAAAAATGATTAAGTAATGTACTCAGAAACATTTATTGCAAATCTTATTTCTGTGCTAATCCGTGCCCAATTTGAGTAAAAAGCATTGCAACACTTTCAATTTTTGGCCATTTTTCATAATTAGAAAAAATTTTCAGTTCAAAGGGAATGAGTAAACAATCTGAAATTTTGCACACAAGTTATTGATCTAGACCTATGGGGACAGAAATCTCGAAAAGATATTTCCAGTCATGTCATGTCAAAAATCTCAGTGGTGTCCCTTTAAGTTTATCTTTGATACAAATTCTTCAAATTCAAATCAACGTTTTTGGTGCAACTTTTTCAAAACATAAGGGGGTCATCTTCAGCTTTGTTGTGATGTTAGCCAAAGTCCCGTTTGAACATCGTTATGATCAAATATGGTTAAGAGTGCTGCCCCTCTGACATCTTTTGTTTCCATCACAGGCCTCAACAAATCCACTCACCCACTTGCATTTGCGATTTAAAGTTTCAAGGGTCGGGCGAGTAAAAAATTTATATATCGCTGGCAGGGCGAGTGAGATTCTCCAGATCCAAATGATGTTGCTCTAGATATTTAATATAAATGAAGTTATTCGGTGATAAAATCAAACAGCATATGCCATTTCGATTTATAAAACTGTCAACCGAAAACTGACTTTATATTTATTTAAGTATTAAACTTTACCCTGCACTGCCAGTGGCCCTAAAGAAATTCATTGGGGCCTGCATCATTAACATTCTGAACATTATTAAAGTACGATACTAGACTTACTTTTGTCTAGTTGAATTACATGTACTTACAATAGAAACAGATGTCTATGTAAATGAATGATTGTGCTTGTTGTGGTTGAGGGGTTGCTTTTAATGGTTGAGGCATAAGAATTGCAGCCACTGTTTATCCCTGTGTGATAGTTGAGGAGGCGACTTAATGAGTTCAAATAACTGGAGTCTATGCATCTCTTAGCTTCAGCAGGTGAGGTAGTTTTGACCCCTGGTGTTGCCTTTGAAGTTTGCTTTGAACCAGTTAGCCAAAATCATCTTTCCTGTTTCAGCGGCATATTGTCCTATACTGTGCTGGTGAGCTGTAAAACCAACCAAACAAACAAAAGAATGATTGTTTTAACAATAAGGGTCAAATAGTTTCAACAGATTTTCTTTAAGATGGCATTCACTCTTTCAATAAATTTGGTTATGAATCATGGATATTCATTTGAGCCGTGCCATGACAAAACCAACACATGCCTACGCGCAGTCTGATCAGGATCCATGCTGTTCGCTTACAAACCTTATAACAAGTAGAGAAACTGATAGCGAACAGCATGGATCATGATCAGACTGCATGGATGCGCAGGCTGGTCTGGATCCATGCTGGTCGCAAACCCACTATGTTGGTTTTGTCATGACGCGGCTCATTTGTATATGTATAAAAAACGTTGTTATATGTTTTACCAATTGCCATAATGTGCATGTTATATTGACATATTATATGTAGGTAATAAATATATTGCCATGGCTATGTACTGGTATGTAGGAGAAATTTATGACAAATTCTCATGTTATTATATGTAACATATTCAAAAATGATTATGATAAATTTCCATGTTTGCATGGTGGTGGATTTCCACAATTAGAAACATATCATATTGGTATAGGGATATATACAATGTAAAAACTGCAAAGTCATTATTATTCACAGGGCACTAATTTTCTTGCTTTTCATGGATTAGTCAATTCACAAATTTAAGATTCAACAAAATTTTATTTCATGGGCTGTGAGATTATTTTTGTATTTCATTGTCCCAAAAAAAAAAACAGACAATAAACAAATTTAAAAACATAAAAAAAATGTCCTTGTTGACAAAACCATGAAATTTCATGCTCACGAAATCAAGTGAACTCACAGTTAAAAGCAGAATGCATGTATGTTAAAGAAATTGCTCGAGGTAATTTTCTATGCAAATGAAGACCATATAGATTAAATTGATTATGTGTGCGGATTTTGGACATACATTAGCAATAAAAACTGTGCCGTATCCCAATGTAAATTTTACAGAAAAGAGGTTTTATGGTATAATCAAGAAGGGGCCAACTTCATATTGCCTGACTTGTATGAAGAATACATAGAGCCTATACCACAGGTAGTATTTGTCTTAAAGTTTGGGATTTTGTCGGACTCTGGCATTATATTCAGCATGCTGGGTGAAAATATATTCCTGGGCTTTTTTCCCCAATACCATCATGTGGGTTCTTTTTTTTATGAAAAATAAAAAGTGAAATTTTGTTTTGGATTAACAGAATAAATTTAAGCTCATTTGTTAAGTAAGTTCGTGTAACTTATGTTAATCACATTCGAGTACGCTTCCTGGAGCCAGCCAGTACTGGTGTCATATGTAGAAACATTGTCATGACCTGATTAGGGTTCGAACCCATAACCCCTGGGTTGAGAGGCAGACACCTTAACCACTAGGTCACTGCTTCCCTTAACTAGCTAGTGGAATTATAATGATTTCTCTGCTGTTAAACTGTTTTTTTTTTGTGTAAAATATCTGTTCACCTCTTAACATGAATCCCTTGAATAACAAATATGCAGCAGACAACAAATTCCTTTTCCCTCACCAGGCTTAATATCTTTAATATCTTAAATATCTTAATATCTTAAATGAATCGAAACACTTTTCCACCCTTACCGTCAAAGTTCGGATATTGAGGACCTGAAACACAAAAGTTTGATTACACAGAACGACACTGATAGTGCAGACCATGATCGAATGGCATGGATGTGACTTCTGCTCTGTGTTCTGCACTCATCACATGGGTAGATTTAGCAAAAAAAAGGTTATTGCTGATGGAATTATAAGAGCGAAGAAATAAGACTGATGGAAAAATAAGAGCGAAGAAAGTTAAAGTGAAACTTGAATTTTGTTCATAATTGATAAAATGAAAAAAAATTAATGCACATACAATAAATGCTATTGATAACGATATTCAGGGACTGTCATATTTATATCATTGTATCTCGATATCATTAATCCGAAAGGCAATCAGTTTGAGTCGGGACCGTCACGGCAACATCATCGTTATTAGCAGTATTTCTTTATAAGCGATACTGTTGTTATAACTGGTGTTAAACATTCACTTGTTCCTAACTGCTTTAAGGTAGTCTTCCGGACAAAAAATCTTTTGTGGGCCAATATCGTAATAAATCGGTTATTTCTGGAACTTATTATTCACAATCTTCGGTATTCGTAATTTTTTTATCATTTATTTAGTACATAGTGATTAAGGATTAGTGATTATTAATAATCTTATGCCCAAGATTTTGAAAAAATAACGTTCCGGAAATAACGGATTTGCTACGATATGAGTCAATGTTAGACTTTTTTTGGGCAGGAAAGTATTAGAGTTAGACTACCTTAAGTTTATATCTTTGAATTGTTTATGAGGTGCAAAAGGTATCCTGCTTATCCATACTTCAGCTGCATGCGCACTTGTGGCTTAGATATATTGCTTGTAAATTACACCTGAGCTCTTTTTCCGCCTGTCACCTGTAACCACCAAGTTGGAATTCATTGACACTTCATTGGAAAATCTCCAGAAAAAATGTATATAGTCAATTCTGTGTTAAAGACCACCTCTTAATAAGGACCACCCTGTAAATAAAGACCACCATACGATAAACCTTCATTAATAAAATACATCAAATTCTCTCTAAATAAAGACCACTTGTTTATAAAGGCTGTGTATTGTTTCTCCTTTGGATGGCCTTTATACACAGGTGTGACTGTACTAGTAACATTCATGTCATATAAATATAGATAAATAAATGCAATAAATCTGTGGTTTTCCAGGAGGGAACTGATATGGTTCTACCAAGATGGTGCTAGCTTTATTTTCCCAGATGCCTATGAGGAATACATCAAACCCATTCCTGAGGTATATATGATTGATTTTCACCAGCAGTGCACTTTTTATACTGCACATAGTTAATTTGTAAATGCAACCAGCAGTGCACTTCTTATACATGTAGTTGATAATTGTAAAGCATATTTTCCTAGCAATGAATGCATCTTTTATCCTAAGACTCTTCTTAAAACTGACTTTCTGATCTTAAGATTTAAGATCTTCCTGTAATCCTCTGAACAGTAATAGGTAAAGATCCTCAAATTTATAGAGCTTAAGGTTTAATTTTGGAATTGGGATTATAGAGCTTTATGTATTTGGACTATTTGGACCTGGGATTATAGAGCTTTAGGTATTTGGACCTGGGATTATAGAGCTTTAGGTATTTGGACCTGGGATTATAGAGCTTTAGGTAATTGGACCTGGGATTATAGAGCTTTAGGTATTTGGACCTGGGATTATAGAGCTTTAGGTATTTAGACCTGGGATTATAGAGCTTTAGGTAATTGGACCTGGGATTATAGAGCTTTAGGTATTTGGACCTGGGATTATAGAGCTTTAGGTATTTAGACCTGGGATTATAGAGCTTTAGGTATTTGGACCTGGGATTATAGAGCTTTAGGTAATTGGACCTGGGATTTATAGGGAATTAATTTTACAGAGCTTAAGGTATATTGAACTGGGATTAATAGAGCATTAGATATATGAACCTAGGGTTCATAGAGCATTTACAGACCTTTACGTATATTAACCTAGGATAACTATAGCATGTACAGAGCTTAAGGTATATTGAACTGGGATTAATAGAGCATTAGACATATGAACCTTGGGTTAGTAGAGCATTTACTGAGCTTAAGGTATACTTAACTGGGATATATGGAGCAGTAGGTATATTAGGTAAATGAACCTAGGATAAATAGAGCATTTACAGAGCTTAAGGTATATTGAACTGGGATTGATTGAGCATTAAATATATGGACCTGGGATTAATTGAGCATTAGATATATGGACCTGGGATTAATAGTGGGATTAATAAAGTATTAGATATATGGACCTGGGATTAATAGAGCATTAGATATATGGACCTGGGATAAATAGAGCATTAGATATATGGACCTGGGATTAATAGAGCATAAGAAGAAATATGATGAAAGACAATGAAATTTGACCCAAAAGTCTGCTGAACATGACTGAATCTGCCCTTGCAATTAATGCACACCAAATTCTGCTGGCACATCCTGGCATGCCATCCGATTGCACTGTTTGTTATTCAGTCAGTATTTATTTTGAAATATCCCTTAAAAAATTCCTGGTGAATAGTTTTGTTCAGATTGAAAGATGGACAAGTCCATTTTAAGATACATGTATGTAGCATGGTAAAGCAATTTGTCGTCTGCAGATAATTCAAGGGGTTCCATGTTTACGTGATAATTGGCAAAGAAATGTTATTATGAACTTACCAAACTGAAATATAGAGAAAATACACAGCCTCTTCCTAGGCTTTAAAGCTGCATGCCTCCAGATATGCCAAAATATTTTTAAAATATCAAATTTGAAAAAAATGTACTGAGATTTTTAAAAAAGTAAAACAATTCACATTTCAAATAATAATTCACTTGTTATTTGCGAATAATGTCATATTTTGCAGTATTTATCACCATAATTATTTCTGCTGCGTTACTAACGCAGTAAAGGCTATTTGTTTTGGATATTTCGACCTTTTTATGGTAATTTACATGGATAATAAGCATTGTTTTACAATGTGTCATTGTTCACTATACAAAATTGTTCTGTTAAATGCATTTTCAAAATTTTTTCATAAAAAATCAGCATGAATCTGGAGGCATGCTGCTTTAATGAAAAAAGCAGACATTATCAGAGTGGTGGATATAGTGCATGCTGGAACCAAAAGTGTAAAAATCTATTTTTAGCACTGATGACCTGGACCCAACTGACCCCTAACTCTGTTTATGCAAGCTACCTTCACAGTACCAAATATGAAATACATCTTTCTATAAGCAAAGGCTATATGGGTAAAAGTGTGTAAAAATCTACTTTTAGCACTGGTGACCTTGACCCAACTGACCCCTACCTCAATCAAAAGGAAGAATACCATGCAAGGTATCTTCCAACCAAATATTAAAAGAAACTGTCAATAAATAAAGGCTGTATGAGCAAAATCTGGAACCAAACGTGATTAGTCCTTGCTGCCAAAATGAATCCAGGCCAGCCTGTACTTCTGTAACTTCTATATATATGTTAGTGTTCATCCGTGCTGTTCTACAGAAATAAAAAACTTCGTCAGGAGGGATGGCGACAGGAGAATGTTTCTAATTTCTGTAGAACAGCTACTGATGAAAACTAACATTCTTAGTGTCAAGCTTTATTTGGCTTCATTATTATTCATTATATTACGTCATTATATCTGTCTATTTTTATGAACGCGGTTCTATGAAGCACTATGAAAAATAGAAGGCTACTATAATGAACTGAATTTGATATCATATTGACTTTTGTTTCTTATGAAAATGAACACACAGAATTTTTAAGAAATACAGCATTTTTATTGGATGACAATTAAAGCTGGACACTAATATAATGTTTGATGCTTTTATGAAAACTTAGATTCTATAGAAATGATTATATACCTTTGTTAAAGAATTATTCAGAATTTAATTTTTGTTCATCACAAAAGAAAATATAAATATTCATTTTTCTTATCCTTTATGTTAAAGCCGAGCCTTAAAAATTTGGAAGACACCTGGTTAAATACATTGTAGCCAATTAATCTTGCCGGCTATTTTTTGATACAGAGTTTACCAGGGGAAGCAATCACTTTAATTTGTATTATTGTTAAGAGTTGCTTCCCTTGATATATAGGTTGAAAGATGCGATCTGATTGGAGCATATTATCGTAGACTGACAGGAAGTGATGAGAAAGTCCAACTGGAGTGTGCGAAGGCATGGAGTAAATGGGAGCTGAAAACCTCAAAACTTTACGTAGATGATAGTTATGTGGCGCGGGCGGAGGCAGATATCTGGGCGCTACAGTTTGCTAGAATTGAATGGTGAGTTTAATTTGTACATTAGCCGCATGGCCGAGTGGTTAACGTGTTGGACTAGTAATCTAATGATCGGTAGACGCATGGGTTCAAACCCTGTCAGAGGCAACTCGTTGGTTCCTTGAGCAAGAAACTTATTGCAAGAACACTTATTGCTCAGTACTGGTTGGTTCCAGGAACAGATTTGAAAGTGTTTCAGTGAGCTTATAGCTTCCTACACAATCGCTTATAGCTTCCCACACAATCAAACTAAAATAAATGATCAAGTACTGGTAAATCAAGAGAAGGAGAGAACAAACACATCAGGATGGTTTGTAACTGGTTTATTCTAGAATATATCGTTTTCGGTCTTTCAAGACCTTCATCAGGATATATTACAAAGAAAAATGATTACTGAAGTACTAAAAAGAGGTTAGGTATGTTACTATAAATAGTCATAAATGAGTTTTTCTGGGCAAAGGGCCAAGTTATTTTTCCATATGAAATGTTTCAAATGTTGGATAACCACAGATCATATCTATGTCAATGAACATTTTTACGGCATCATGTTTAAGTGTTGATATTCACCTAAAATGATTGTTTTGAATAAATGTAGTTCTAACTCCAAAGTCTTAAGTTGATTATAGCTACTGAGGAGAAATTAGTTGGTTTCAGTATTAACAAACTAAAATTCTTCATTTTTATGAGTAAATATGTAGACGTTAGTTGAGATTTCCTGTGGTTGTTTTGTTTATGTAATTTTGTAACAAATGTTTATCTTAAAATCTGGTACGATATTTTAGCTGCTGGTTAGAATAATCAGTTATTCTAGTTATGCTGCTTGTACATATCATCGGCATTTTCTGGTTCAATGATTTTTGTCAGAGTTATGGCCCTTTAATGAATTTTATTTTGTAAAATTTTGTCCTGACTATTTCTCTCATACTACTTATGCAAATGAAATGAAACTTTACTGGATTGATCGTAAAGTACTTGCACATATTGAACAGTTTTCTGGTTGAATGAATTTCATCATGGCCTGTTTATGATTTTTTGTGTCGCCTCTACGGAGTAGTGGCGACATATAGGGATCACTTCTCCGTCGTCTGTCTGTCCGTCTGTCCGTCACAAAACTTGTCCGGACTACTTCTCATAAACTACTGGTGCAATTTCATCCAAACTTTACAGGAATGATCAGTACCAAGTCTAGTTGTGCATATTGTCAGCATTTTCCGGTTCAATGATTTTTGTCAGAGTTATGGCCCTTTAATAATTTTTATTTTTAAAGTTTGTCCGGACTACTTCTCTGATACCACTAATGCAATTTCAGTGAAACTTTACAGGATTGATCTGTAGCTCAAGTCCTTGCGCATATTGCATGGGTTTTCTGGTTGAATGATTTTTGGCCGAGTTATGGCCCTTTGATAAAAAGGTGTTTTTTTCTGTGTGTTGCCAGATACACAAAAGCTTGTCCGGACTACTCCTCATAAACTACTGGTGCAATTTCATCCAAACTTTACAGGAATGATTAGTACCAAGTCTAGTTGTGCATATTGTCAGCATTTTCTGGTTCAATGATTTTTGTCAGAGTAGGGCCCTTTAATAATTTTTTATTTTTAAACTTTGTCCGGACTACTTCTCTTATACCACTAATTCAATTTCAATGAAACTTTACGGGATTGATCTGTAGCTCAAGTCCTTGCGCATAATTTTGCACGGGTTTTCCAGTTGAATGATTTTTGGCCGAGTTATGGCCCTTTGATAAAAAGGTGTTTTTTTCTGTGTGTTGCCAGATACACAAAAGCTTGTCCGGACTACTCCTCATGAACTACTGGTGCAATTTTATCCAAACTTTACAGGAATGATCAGAACCTAGTCTAGTTTTGCACTGTCCATCTGTCTGTCTGGCCGTCTGTCACAAAACTTTTCCCAACATAAAATTGGCCATCATGAGGTGACACATGTGATCACTGATCGCTCTTGTGTTTCTCTTGCTACACAGTTCCTTCATCATGCAATTGACTAACATCAGACAACTAATGATTAATAATCGCTCTTGTATATTGTTGTCCCATACGCTGCTAATATGAGTTTTTCCCCATCTAATAGATGTTATCCCAGTCATCGAATTTAGCACTGGCCCGGTGGCCCCTGGCTAGTGAAAGTTAGTTTGGGCCAGTGTAAATTTAAAGAAAATTTTTGTTAAATATATAGTAGAATAAATTCAAAACTGGAATTCGGGCTAGTAAATTCAAAATCTTAAATTCAATGATTGTTATCATGATTGTTATCAATGATTGTTATCAGGAAATCGGCAAATGTGGGATTTTCTATGATAATCCCCCAGTACAAGCAAAATTCACAGTGCACATACCGTTCACAAAAGATTAGTCAACCTGTTAGGCTTATTTTTGAAGCTTTGACTGTAAAAGTTTGTTGGTACCCCCGGATTAGCTGGGAAAAACCCAGAATATTCTTTATTCCAGAGTAAGTTTATTCCATGGTTCAAAAAAGCGTACCTGTACAGTGTACAGTGTTCCGGTGCAATATAAACAGATACAATAGAGTGATCTACGCGTTAAGCTTATTATTATTTAAATATATATACCAAGTTAGTATGGAAATTTGTTTGTATCTCAGGATTAGACGGGAAAAAACTTAATTTTGCGAATTTCTTGAGTATTAAAATTAGACATAGGTTCATTCAGGCCTTAAAAAGTACCTGAATTTGATCATTTGTGAGAAAAGGACCCATTAATGGACATTGCCCTTAAAAAAAACAACCCAAAATGAATTTGGCCCCCCCCCCCATTAAAAAGGCCCTAAAAAGTCCTTGAAAATTGTGGAGATAGTTATCATGGCCCTTAAATTTTCAGGGTGATCTTTATTATAAGGTGGTCTTTAACACCAGGTTTTACTGTAGAACATAAGTACCATTTTAGAGAAAAGTTTGAATGTTTGGAAGGGAAATTAATAGTAAGGATTGTCATGCAAGGAAAAATATGGATAAGTGAGCAATTTTGTAATGAAATTAATTTTTACTTTTATTTCCTTGCTGATTTCCTGATTTCCTTGTCTTTCACCAACAATAATTAAATTGGATAGGAAAATGTAAAAATTTATGTTAGATAATAAAAAATTATCTAAGTTCCAAAACTCATTTATGATATAAATGTCAATAATAGGAGCTCTACTGGGTTACATAAGTCTGAAAATATTAAATTTGAAAAACTTGCAGATGTCAACTATGCCAGAGATATGAAACAAATACACTTAGAATTAAATTGAATTTTTTTTTTTTTTTTTTTTTGGGGGGGAGGGGGGGCATGATCCATTAAGCCTGGTATGTAATAAAAGCATTGTAAAATTAATCCACCCTAGTGAGTTCAAATCTCGTAGAGGACTTTTGATTCTTTCATGTGAGGAAGCTATCCAGCTAGCTTATGAAAGGTCACGGTGGCTCTACTGAAGTTCATGAAATAATGCACAGAGGGGCACCTCAGGTCTTCCTCCATCAGTAAAGCTGGAAAGTATCATTGCAGTTTTGGTGCGACGTGAAACTAAACCAAATAAAAAAAAGAAAGAAATAAGAGAATAAAATTCAGTTCAAGCTATTAAAGGACACTATTACCCGAGTTGTTTTCAACAGACTTCAATTATGTGTTGCAAATATTTCAACTGAGAAATAATGATATAATTCATTGCAGTCATTACTTTGTCAATGGAGGATTTTTTGAACGTGATGATCAACTGTTAGCCAACGTAGACAAGATACGCCACATTCCAACAACGATAGTTCAAGGACGATATGACCTGGTATGTCCAATGGAAACAGCCTGGAAACTGCATAGGGTAAGCTCAAACCCTTATTTTTTAGCTCACCTGACGACAAAGTGGTATAGTGATGGGGCCATTTTCTATTCTTTGCTCCTGTGACCTAGTTTTTGACCGGAGATGACCATATGTCAACTTGACCTAGAAATCATCAAAACAACCTTCCTTATCAATTTCCAGGACATTTTGATTAAAACTGCAGCCACTAGAGTGTTAACAAAATTTTTCTATTTTTAGCTCCTATGACCTAGTTTTTGACCTGAGATGACCCATATTTGACCTTGACCTGTATTTCATTGAGACAAACTGTCTGACAAATTATGATTATGATCCACTCAAAACTGTGACTACTATAGTGTTAACAACCCTAATGTTGATGATGAACGACGCACAAGACAGACGCCGGACATAGCCCCATCACTATACCTTTATAGCATAAGACGCAATAAGCCAAAATCAATGCATGATAAGCCAAAATCAAAGCATGATTAGCCTAATTCAAAGCATGATGAGCCATGTACAAACCATGATAAAAGCATGATAAGGCAACTTAAAAGCATGATTAGCCAAATTCAAAGCGTGATAAGCTATATTCAAAGCATGATGAGCCATATTCAAAACATAAAATAAGGCAAATTCAATGCATGATAAGCCATGTACAAAACTGATAAAAACATGATTAGCCAAATTCAAAGCATGATTAGCCAAATTCAAAATATGATAAGCCAAATTCAATGCATGATAAGCCAAATTTAAAGCATTATTTGCAAAATTCAAAATATGATGAGCCAAATTCAAAGCATAATAATAATCAGTTCATTATATAAATTGTACAGAAAGCTGTTAAGACATTTAACTATTATAATAATTATTGTATTTCAGGCATTTCCTGAAGCGGAATTCCACATCATAGCAGATGCGGGACACAGTAACAAGGAACCTGGTACCCAGTCCAAGCTTCTAGATGCCTGTGATAAATACAAGAACCTTTAACTGGTACCCAGTCCAAGCTTCTAGATGCCTGTGATAAATACAAAAACCTGGTACCCAGTCCAAGCTTCTAGATGCCTGTGATTAATACAAAAACCTTTAATAGCAGTTAAATAATTTAATAGCAATGACGTGTGTGTTATAATAAATAACATTTTACGTAATTGCTAAATGAAAAACTACATATTTGGTATGAAATAACATTTACATAGTTGTTGAAATAACTGCTACATATTCGTTATGAAATAACATTTTACATAATTATCTATTTTTATTACAACCACATTTTAATTGCAATATCATTTTATTAAATAGTTACACTTACAGTGTTGTTTATACAATAACATTTAAAGTGGTGCAATAACATTTAAATAATTGATACAATAACATTTACATTATAGTAAATGTTATATATATCATTTAAAGGCCCATTTTGCCCTAGAATGGAAGGCTTATTTTTTTCACAAAAGCTTTTTATTTTTGGTGTACTTTTATAGCTTAACTTGTGACCAAATGGACATGTGGAATAAGTCAGATTTGACCTTGACCTTTAAATGACCTTGACTGTCAATGTCAAAGGTCAGATGATTAAATTTTGCATTTATTTTCTTAACTTTGTCATTTATTTATAGAAATGATGCATACTTTGACAAAACAGCAAGTGTGACCTATTAAAATAAAACTATGGAAAACCTTATTATGTTTTTACTTTATTTTTTTTTTTAAGATTTGTTCGCTTTTAGAAAAAGAAAAAAAGTTGAGCGTTGCCCCTGCCCAGCGATGGCTCTTGTTTTATTTTGTTGTGTTTTGGCAATTAGTACAGACTACAGTTATACTGTTCAACACATTACTTCATGAGCATTTTGTAAAAAATGTCTGTTTTCATCGAAAAGTCTCCCGTTACATGTTCAAATTGCTATAAAACTATAAAAACTGCTTCAATACTAATCAAACATTGCACCAATGTTGACTGGATCACTGCCTTTGTAACAACATGCTCGGGCTTAAATTTCCTGTTACCATGGCAATGAGGGGACATCTCAAAATTGCCAAAAATCACTATTTTGTGTGAATTTTTTCCATCAAAATTGATTTCAAAGTGCTGCAACTTCTCAATGGGTTGAGATAGAGTCAAATGCCTTTCAGCGTTGGTTACACGTTACCTTATGATCGATCTGATTCACCTGTGTGTATGTTTGTGCGTTTGTGTGTTATATAGATTATATAGTGAACTTCAATAATCTTCTTGTGAAAAACCACTTGTCATATTTAAACTAAACTTGGCAGGATTGATCCTTGGGTGAAGGGCTTCCAAAGTTGTTCAAAGAATTTCATTCCATGCAGAAATCTGGTTGCCATGGCAACCAAAAGGAATTATAAGAATAAATTTAAAAAATCTTCTTGTAAAGACCCAAAAGGCCTAGAGCTTAGATATTTTGCATAAGTCATTGTCTGGTAGACCCTTATCAAGATTGTTCAAATTATAGCCCTGGGGTCAAAATTGGCCCCGCCCCGGGGGTCATTTATTTTCACTATATGCACATATAGTAAAAACTTAAAATACCTTCTTGTAAAGACCCAAAAGGCCTAGAGCTTAGATATTTTGCTTAAGGCATTGCCTGGTAGACCCTTACCAAGATTGTTCAAATTATAGCCCTAGGGTCGAAATCGACCCTGCCCCAGGGGTCATTGATTTTCACTATATGTACATATAGTAAAAACTTAATAATGTACATATAGTAAAAACTTAAAATACCTTCTTGTAAAGACCCAAAAGGCCTAGAGCTTAGATATCTTGCATAAGGCATTGTCTGGTAGACCCTTACCAAGATTGTTCAAATTATAGCCCTGGGGTCAAAATCGGCCCCGCCCCGGGGGTCATTGATTTTCACTATATGTACATATTTAAAACTTAAAATACCTTCTTGTAAAGACGCAAAAGGCCTAGAGCTTAGATATTTTGCATAAGGCATTGTCTGGTAGACCCTTACCAAGATTGTTCAAATTATAGCCGTGGGGTCAAAATCGGCCCTGCCCCAGGGATCATTGATTTTCACTATATGTACATATAGTAAAAACTTAAAATACCTTCTTGTAAAGACCCAAAAAACCTAGAGCTAAGATATTTTGCATAAGGCATTGTCTGGTAGACCTCTACCAAGATTGTTCAAATTATTGCCCTGGGGTCAAAATCGGCCCGCCCGGGGGTCATTGGTAGTCCTTATATGTACATATTTAAAACTTATAGTGAAAACTTAAAAAAAAAAATTTCTAGTAATTGACAAATGCTAGAGTTTAGATATTTTGCATGAAACATTGTGTAGTGAACCTCTAGCAAGAGTGTTAAAATTATAGCCCTGGGGTCAAAATTGCCCCCGCCCCGGGGGTCATTGATTTTCAATATATACATATAATAAAAAATCAAAAAATCTTATTGTCTGAAGGTACAAGGCTTAGAGCTTTAATATTTGTTAAATGATATCTTCTATAGGTACTCTACCAAAGTTGTTCAAATTTTGCCTCTAGTGTTAAAATTAGCCCCGCCCTGGGGGCCATAGGTTTTCCTTATATGTATATAGTTAAAACTTAAAAAATCATCTTCTCTAAATTTACAAAGGCTAGAGTTAAGATATTTTGCAATAACATTGTGTTGTGAACCTTTAGCAAGATTGTACAAATTATAGCCCTGGGATCAAAATTGGCCCCACCCCCAGGGGTCTTTGATTTTCACTATGTACAATCATATAGTAAAAAATTTAAAAAACCTCTTGTCTGCTTAGGGCTTTGATATTTGGTATATATTATCATCTATGGGTCCTCTACTAAAGTTGTTTTAATTATGCCCCTAGTGTTAAAATTGCCCTGCCCCAGAGGCCATAGGTTTTTCTTATATGTATAAAGTAAAAACTTGAAAATCTTCTTCTCTGAATTGACAAAGGCTAGAGGTTAAATTTATGGCATGAGACTTTGGGAAGTGAACCTCTACCAAGATTGTTCAAATTAAAGCCCTGTGGTCAAAATTGGTTCTGCCCCGGGGGTCATTGATTTTCATTATGTACATATAGTAAAATTTGATCTATGCATAATGATAATCTTCGATTGTATAGAAACAAAAAAAATCTGTTCCTACACTATTATTTAGTGTTGTATTAATGCGGTGGCATAGCATTTTTCTCAAATGCAATCTTGTTTCACTATTTGAGGCCTTAAAGAAGGGGGGGGGGGGGGGTCAAAAGTGTGTTGTTTCGCGTATATATGAGGTAAGGGGTTACTATGATACATGTACTTTGTTTACAATTTTCTGCTTTTAATAACAAATTATTTCACATTTAGCTTTTTCAGGTAATAAGTGTCTTAGTCCTTTTTGTACTTTCTAAAGAATTAACCATTTATTTGTTTCTAAGGCATACTGTGCCTTTAAATAAATACTAGTAATATCATTTTCTTTATTGATACATGGTACAGTGCTAGTGCTAGTATATATATATATACCGGTATATATATTTGAAATTTCCTTTCATCATTTTGTTCATGTAGCATGGTGAGCTTTATTCATGTAATGATTTGTATATCAGGATAGCCTTTTTCACTCGACCATGTCATTAAATTTCATCCATCTTAATTCTTTGAAAACAGGGTCAGATGGTGCATCTGCAGCTTTATCTAGAATAATGCGAACTGTTTGTTTCTGAAATTTTAGCATTCTCTCAAGAAGTTCATTTGAGCAATTTCCCCAAATTGAACAGCAATAGTCTATATAATAATATAGTCATTGTAGAAAAGTTTCCTGGCATGTAAACTGAGATATTGTTTTAACCGTACATGAATATAGAGATTACTATAATTGCATTTCTTTATTTTTTGTTCAATTTGAAGTTTCAACGTTAGACAATTGTCAACTTGAACTCCAAGAAGCTTTTCAGATTCAGTAAAACACTTTATTTAAAAAAATTTTTTTAATCCCAAACAGTGATTTTATTTATTCACTCAATAACATCACTGTTTGGAGTTCGGATGCGAGGAATCATATGAGGGCGTAGCCCAAGTGATATAATGATGCACATCTGAATGACAAACAGTGATGTTATCAAGTGATAAAATCACCGATTTGGATTTATTATTTCGATTCTAACACAACATCAACAACATGTATTATTTCGATTCTAACACGACATCAACAACATGTCGTTCAGAAGCGCATTATTATTTCACTCGGGGTACGCCCTCGTGATATAATTCCTCGCATCCGAACTCCAAACAGTGATTTTATTGAGCGATAAAATCACAGTTTGGGATATATTATTTCTTAAATAACACACACTTTCGGTTCTTCTATATTCAATAGGGAAAATGTGGGTCGTGTTAAGATAAGTAATTGAAGTGGTGTACTTGTTGATGCATGAAAGAAATGATACATGCTGCTAACCCATCCTTAGAAAACATAAATTACGTGTGAGATATAATTATGGTTTTGCATGTACTTTCATCGTGGTTTTTGTGACAAAAACCCCTTTGAGTTGTTTATCAAATATGATGTGGCTTTTAAGGAAACTTAATTTAATTAAACTAATTGAAAGTCTTGTTAAGCAATTAGAATGTATTAAGTATAAAAAAAATGACTTTCACTAAGGAAGTTTTTTTTCTATATATATATAAATACCAAACTTTTTAAGTAGTTAGTAATTGCGGTTATAATTATAACATCCCTTTCGAGCTTGAACATAATTGCCTCCTTTTACAGGCATTTTTATATAATTAGCAATGTGTATATAACTATTAATTCAGTTAGTTTAAATAAGTAGATTACTATAGTAATATTATCAAAAGTCAAAGTCCATTTAATATTCTATCCAGCTAGCTTAAGGAATGGCAGTTGCATGTTCTACTCGGGTGCCCCATCGTCCCTAAAATAATGCACGGAAGGGCACCTGAGGTCTTCGTCCACCAGTTAAGCTGGAACGTCGTCATATGACCAATTATACTGTGTCGGTGTGACATAAAACCCAAAGAAATCAAACAAACAATCATTTATTTCTCTCGTACAATGTATAAAAATCAAGACACTATGAGTGGACAAACATAAACTTAAATACAATGAGGCTGCACTAGCAATTGAGTTACACCTAGGACTCAACACAGATGGTCACACTGCTCCCTAGCTCCTTTTAGACACCGTCTAAAAATAGCATTATTGTCAGGGATGTTATGGTTAAAGTTTTATTTTAAAGAGAATTGGTCAATAATGGAAGGTCTGTTATACCATAAATAATTACATTCATAATATTAAGTATCAGACATACATGTAACAGCAAACCATGAAAGAATTACATATATATATGAGCCGCGTCACGACAAAACCAACATAATGGGTTTGCGACCAGCATGGATCCAGACCAGCCAGCGCATCCGCGCAGTCTGATCAGGATCTATTGCTGTTCGCTGTCAGTTTCTCCACTTGTAATAGGGTTGATAAGCGAACAGCATGGATCCTGATCAGACTGCGCGGATGCGCAGGCTGGTCTGGATCCATGCTGGTCGCAAACCCATTACTGTTGGTTTTGTCGTGACGCGGGTCATTTATACTCTTTAAGGAAACTGTGCCCATTGTAGACCAATCCCCTTTAACGGTCAAAATGTACATTACAGATATCATTATACTACATTAAATTTTGTATTTACAATACATGTACTATATAA